GGTTTCTAACTATCACATTGTTTGTCATTTATCAATTGCAGACAGTAACGTTATCACAAATCACTTCGATAATCAATGATTTCCAACAAGTTTTGAAACTTATTTTTTACCACGTGAAATGCTAAAAAGGAACGTGTTATGTTGCGTGTCAGTAATGAATAACAGAACATTATAAGAAGATGGGAGATTTACCGTTTAACCTTAATGTTGAAGAGACGTAGGCATACAACACTCATTTAGATTTAATTAATGTAGGCTTATATATATATATATATATTTATATTTAAAGCAAAATATTTATGTTAATTTGACGTAACTATACGCGGTGCATCGTGGCCCCGCGCCTATGACCAGAATGTACACGATACAATAATTAAAAACTCTACAATGAAAATAATGTGACGATGATTCAAGTAGTGACCACATGCATACATCCCTCTCACGCCAGTATTATTTATGAAGAGAAACCTACAATTATAATCGAGGACTAAGTTGAAATATGATCCTTTTAGCCTACTCATAAGCGAGACACAAACCGAATACTATGTCGATGGTGGCGCTATCTAAAATCGGTGCTACTAACATTCTTACAGTTATTAATAAAGATACAAGACAAAGTAAATATACTAAAATGAAATACGATATAGTTTATTTTTATAATAATTAACAATTTTCGCCCCTAAAATTACCAACGAAAGACAAAATTTATTTTAAAGCAATACAACTTAGTTACTTGTCAGGAGAAACAATCGAGGATTAAGTTTAGGATTTACAGCAACTATTTTGTAAAGATTATCTAGATCAGTGTTACTTGTATATGTATTAGTTTTATTTTATAAAATTTGCAAAAGTAACAAATTGTTTCTTTGTACTTTTAAGCAATTCACTAAATAACACCACATTAAATTCAACATGAAGAAATTCGAATGTTGGTGTCTAAATAAATTGTTATTAATTATAAAATTCAACAAATATGTGCAAATAAACTAAGAAGTTGGCAACGTTCGTGTAATTAAATTTATTAAAACTGAACAAATAACTAAGTGACTAAAATATGAATAATCAAACACACATTACCATAATTAGTTGAATAAGTCTAGTTTTAGGATTAAATAAGAACTATTTCGAGATGCAATCCCAGCTAGTATCTATACAACCCATTGTGCAATGTACGAGGAAACTAATGAACGGGAAACTTAAGTAACGTAACTGGAAGAAAAGTATATTGACAAACCGTATTTGTTCTTTGATATTATGACCACATTTTTGATCTGGAAGATATTTTATCCCAATGAACCCAAATGTTATTTTATTTCTTATTTAATGAAAAATTAAAGCAAATAAATTTGTCGACACGTGGAATAGAATTGAAAAATCCATTTATATCTTGTTTTATTACTTTTAATACCCTGGTAGAAAGAGACTGGACGCACGTCATAATGAAAAAATATGTAAGAACGAGAAGAGGGCATGTTTGGTTCGCTATTACGCCACCGGGACAGCACGGAGGACTTTAACTTGTTCCTTATAATATTATTTTAGGGTAAAGGTAAGTGAAGGTTAAGTAAAAACTTTCATGAATGTTGTTACTTAACCTTCAATTTTCATAAAAAATATAAAAGTACCTAAATAGTCCCCGTTATATTATTAAGGATTTATACAAAATATTTATTTATTAACTTAGTTTTAACAAAACGGTTTGTCAAGTCTAAAACACGAATGTAAAACATAAAAATGTTTTAAAAATTGTATAGTACGTAAATGATTCTGCAAAAAATACATCAACTTACCCATAAATTTTAAGATAAGGAAAAGATCATTCTTGTGCCACTATAATTTTCTATTTTAATATCTAGAGAGGTATTGACAATGATCTTTTATATTGAAAAGACTATAAAATATTGAATAAACATCATCGTGTCAGAGACCAATATATTTATTTGTTTAAAAGGTATTTAAGTTACCAAATATAATGTTAATCGAATTTGTACAGGATAGAGGGTGGGTTCATCGACCTGATACTTTAAGAGCGTCAATGTAAACACGTCCTATGATAATGCCTACTTAGATGGCTCTGTATTTGACTATTAAACAATTATGTCTCTATAATTTTTGTCGCTTTCTCTAAATAAACGAATTGTAATGTCACTTCACTTCACATTTGTACATGGCCACCATCAGATGATCTGGTTCTTTTTTTATATTTTTCTAAATATACCAACAACAGCTCGTCTAAATTTTTTCAAATACTTTATTGAATACATACATTTACATAGTTAAATGTACATTAAACTTTTTAAATATAATTCTATATTCGAACGAGCAAACTTCGATAAAATTAAAATTGATTAACATATGAAGTGTCATTACAATTCGCCGTAAGTTCGTTAAAAATAATTAGGGTTCTTTGATATTGTTGAAATTATGTACTATCGTTTTATGGCTAATCTAGAAATATGCAATAATATATCTCATTTAAACTTTTTAAGGTAAGCATCTGTCTGTAAACTGCGTATTTACAATAACGTTATATGGTGCTATGATATAATATGTAATGTTTGCCATATAATATTTTCAACCTTAGGAGTAATGTTAAGCGAAGATTATTAATAAAATATATTAATTTAGAGGTACTGCAACCACACTAGACGAACTGGCTTTCAAAGTTGCTCTTGTTAAAATTATTATTGCAAACGATAAAAATATTTTTATGAATAAAATACACGTGTTTTGGTATTAACTAATTTGATCACCCGATTATTATCATGCCAAATTTTCAAGCTCATGTTTTAGATTTATTAATATTTACTAAAAGTTTTGAAGACTATGTATTTATTCCACATTCGGAATTTTAGCTCATTGTAAGCCAGTTCGACATCCACTCAAACAGTGCCTGATGACAAAGATGATGGTTTATGAGGTGCGGTGATGCGGATGATAGCGTAATGACGTGTGCGAATGACATGTTAATGATAACCCTGTGACCTGGGTGTAATGGTGGGAGGCTACGAAGGATAAAACGTTTTCACACGCTGCCGTTCAAACACCATTTATTCCAAATAGTCCGATATGAAACGCAAATTGGGCAATGTACTTCATTTATCCATCTTAATTAAGCCCCATCTGCGTCCCAAAAAACCCGGACATACACCCACGGGTCCACTGACTACGCAACATTTACGAACAATCTCAATTTCAGTCATACGAGCACAGATACCATGTATAGCGTAATTCAAGTCTAACATGCCACACTCAGAGCGCATCAATCATCAATTAGTTTAGTTAAAAGAGGTAAATGGCAGTATTGATAATTTAGTAGGAAAATGCAAAATATTTCGTCTAAAAAAGTGTCAAGTCTTTGTATTTATTGCCTAACACGCGGCGCCTGTCACGCCGTAAACACGTAACCATAGTAAATGTATTACTCGTAGAACGCCTACCTATCCGCACCACTTAGATCTAATACCTAAACACGCACTAAACTAGAAGTTTATCACTTGTAATCACGTTGCGAGTAAGTAATAAGTATCAAATGTATCAAAATCTTACCTAATATTTTTATTAAACGTTAAACAGTTACTGAGTAAATGTGCACATTACTTATTTTATACGCTTATTATGGTGAAAGCGCTATGCTTACAAATAAATAGACATTTAGGTTAGTTATAAGAAACTTCCTTAACCTAAAATACAGCCGAAGCCAAATATTCTTTACGATTTAACAAAAAAAAAGTTAACTTTAGTCTTTAAAAAATTGGATTAAACATAGCTTCAGTGATTAGCGGATTTGTCCACTCTTTTAATTTTAAATTGTTTTTTTTTTTGATATGGCACAATTCCGAAAACTTTGTATTTTTATATTTTACTCTCAAGCACTCCCTTAATCACTGAAGAATATATATAATAATGAAAACAAACGCAAAAAAAAAAACAACAGTAATTCGATACATAATCTTACAATATTTGATAAGTTAATCGTATTATTGGTGACACAGCAATGGCTTATAATTAAAATCCTTTAACATAATTATTAAGTGAAAAAATACAATATGTAAACGAAAAATGATATTAAAAATAATAACCTAACATGGCATCTCTAACAAGTAGATGTCGCCTCCTGGTTCAAGTGCCATTTGGTGGGAGGAAATAAAGGATCGTAAAAAAACCTATGAAAATATTGTATAACACTTAAGTTAAAAAGTTAAAAATTTTGCTAAAATAAAACATAACTAATAAACTAAATTGAACTAAACAACACACCACTCAAACGCCACCACTATCAGATAGGGTAGGTGATCAGTATCACTGAAAACGAAGGTAATTAATAATTTAAAAAAACTCCCCTTTATCTCCTTCTAAAGGAAAACTCCCGATTCGTGTTCCAATCGAATAGAATGACACAAAAATGCAATTTCTGGCGTCATTTTATCGCTAATCGTTATTTCTGATTAAAAAAAATCAACATCTACCTATTTTAATCAACAAAGTGCCGTAATAAAATTAAAATAAAATCAATAGTACGATCTAAACCGATATATAAAATTATTCTCAATAATACCAACTTAATTTAACAAAAATTATCACTATGAAAAGAGTTCGTTTAACACTCGCGCTTACGCGATCTGGTTAAGGTAGTCCATGAAGTCGTTCGAGAAGAGTTGGAGGTGCGCGGGGTCGGGTGCGGTGCGGCGGATGGCGCCGCAGCCGGCGGGCGCCACGGGAACGCTCGGCTTCGGACGTATGGTGGCCAGGTAGCGTTCCGCCAGCGACTCCCCCAAGCTCATCGCGAGCGTCTCCGGGCTGAGGCCGAGCAACGACAGCGATTCCGTGATGCTGGCGAGCGCGGGCGCGAGGTACTTGGCGTCGTCGGGCTCGGGCCGCGAGGCCATGCTCGTGTTGACGACGGGCCGCAGCGCGGGCGGCGAGGCGCGGCGCGGCGGCGTCGGCGCCAGCCACGCTTCGGGCGAGGTGCCGGGGGAGGTCCCCGGCACCGCCGTCTGTTATGGCCACTGCTGGAACAGCGGGAACGCCCGTTTTGTGAAGCAGTAGCCGAGTGGCTTCACGAAGTGCGCGTCGAGCACGCGGCAGTGCGGGCACGTGACCGGGTGCGAGTAGTCCGAGTAGTTGAGACGTTGATGCGGGTGCAGGAGCGGTTTGTAACAGTTGTTGCACTGCAGACAAAAAAGAAAAAGTTTCCAGTTAAATCATAGGATAAGAGCGGAGTTAAGAAGAGATAAATTAATGTGCTCTGCTACAATGGGTTGAGCCAGTGGGTGGCGGAGAGGAGTTAAATGGAATGAAGCAAAGATTACAATAGTGTATGTCAAAGGGTCACGTTGAATTTTATTATACATTTAAAACAATTCTTCTCTTCTCTTCTATTGTCAGCTCGTTTCTTTTTCAACGCCTAGAGATTAGGCCCTAGTCCCAGGCGAATAAGGAAAAATATTTTATTATGTATATAAGAAAACGTACCTTCAATCGCTCAGCGCAGCAAGGTGTTGCCATAAATATATCGTAGGAGTACATAGTGCCAAGCACGAGGGAAGAACCATCCCACTTCTGCCCGCAGAACCTGCAGCGGATCGTGCGCTCTGGATCGCACCGCTCGAGGCATCCCATGCAGACACACGTCAGGTATTGTGTCCGACCCTCCACTTTCACCTGTGTGGAAAACATACAAATCATAATGTAATGTAATGCATTATCTTGTTTAAATTACATCTAAAATAACTATTACACATTCGACCCCAAGTAACTTTGTAATTATGGAAATAATATAACTCTCACCAAAAGGCGAATAAAATTAAATAAACGAAGGAACTAAACAAATTTTATGAAATTAATAATACTGCATTTTTTAACTCAGGAGTTAAACTGAATACTATCACCTTAAGGTGCATTTGACTTCGATGCGCAACGTGAGCTAAGTCGATTTACGAGTACACGTAAGTAATTAGTAATTAAACGAGCCCAGCCTGAATCAAATAATGCTCCACGGACCTGTATTAAAATGAAAACACCTTTATGCTATAGATAGGTTTCAAAAAAGGACGCAGAGTGAAGAATAGAGATATGCGACTATTTCTTTACGCTGGGGACTGCTCGCTAATTCTAACGTCAAACAAACATACAAGTATCCGTGAGCTCTCACATTCGTCTTCTAATTCGCTGAATAAACAACGAAAGTCGAGAACTTCCCGTCGCACGAGTCGCGAGCCCAGACGCCGATGTTATTTTGTATAGACTTAAATAAACTTTGCGGGATCTTATTTAAGTTTACGAGGGGGAACTTGGTAGCAATTTAAAAGGGAGGAATTAAAACAAGATACGTCTTATTGCTGTTTTCCAAGAACACTATGTAACACGTGATTAAATTAAGTTGTCTACTTTATAAATATTTTAAACTTAACGTACGAGACTCGGAAGATCCTAGTTTTCAAATTAAAACTTTAGATTAATTATCGATACGTTTATAAAAATTACTATTATTTATTCTGTGACATAACTTCCTATTGCTGTTCTTGAATGAATATTATTCTTTATTATTTTTTATTTTCTATATTTTTCTACGTGGTAGAGCCATGCTGCAGCTATATTATGGTTGTAGCACGAATGGGTCGGCTCGACCGGGGAAGGACCACGCTCTCACAGAAAACCAGCGTAAAATAGCAGCTTAACGTTGCTGTGTTTTGTATAGTGAGTGTAGAGAACCGGAGAGCCTTTTTACTGGCAAAGAGGCATTCCATCTTAGTCCTCAAGGGTGACAACGCATCTGCATCTTTAGTCTTTATTGAGGATAGATGTAGATGTCTATGGGTCACAGTAACCACTTACCATCAGGTGAAACTGTGTGCTCGTTTGTCACCCGATCGTATAAAAAAAATTATTTTTATTAGATCGTAGATACTTTGTTCGAAACCCTGGGGAACGTTATACATATATAATTTATGATTGTCTCTTTGGTATAGTGGTTGTAAGCGCGACTGCTGATCATGAAGTCCCGGGTTCGAATCTAGGGTCGGGCCATAGTCAGTTATTGTTTTTTTTCTCTCTCCGTTCGTATCGGATTTTCGTCCCAACAGACTATGAGAGTGCACATGAGCTTGTTGCACATACGAGCACTATAACTGTGTACAGTTGGTTTTTTTATAAAATGTATCGATATTCTATATAAAATTGTTATAACTTTATATACTAAAAACTTAAGGTAAGTACTTAAGCTCGTCTGTTATAACTTATAGACATATTACATATATAATACCTCAACAGCGCTGCTGGTGTGTTGGCGCGGACTGAGAAAGAAGGTGCCATCGACCAGCGGGTAACGGTCGAATACGTCCAACGTCTCTTTGCATAATGCACACGATACCCTCGGTTTATGCTGGCCCGCCAGGGTCGACAGGATAAACAGGCGTGTGTCGTCGTTACCGTGGTTGCCTTCATCCTCAATCTATAACAAAAAAAAAGGTTGAAGAAATTCAGCGACAACGGTGAATCCAAACAAATGCTTTTATATTAGTGTTTTGAGTAGCGTGTGGCTACCGTGTTGTGGTGGTGTAAAAATATACACCTCCCTATACCATCCCGTGGAAACAGCGCTTTCCTAATAACGACTAAAAATAAAAAACTGCGGTTACCAACTACGAGGCAATCTGTGGGGAGGCCTATGTTCAGCAGTGGACTTTAATAAGCTGTAACGGAGTGGCGTCTACTTAACGTACGCCTCGCAGAACGCTCAGGCCTTGGGCTAACAACTAAAATATGTTCGTACAGTAAAAATAAACCAGAAAATAAATAATAATAATATAACTGTAATATTTACTGCAGCAAAGGTAGCAAAGCTAGCAAAACCATAACTTTAAAAGAGAAGGAGAACAATACACGAATAGGTTCGAACTCGTTCGCTTCGTCATCGTAAGACGAAACTTGCTTTTCAATTTTTCATATCCCTACATTTACATATTTCGATTAACACATACACCCACGACACTCTCCGCAACAACTCTCCCTTAATAATAACGCAAGTAAATGTCTGCATAAAGTTGAATAATGAAAGGCTGAAAGGCAATTACGCTGAATTCGGAGTCGAAGTCAAACAAAAGGCTCGCGAGCGCCGCAGAGATCGATTGTGAGCGCAATTCGTTCACGTACGAGCAATTTACGAAAGCGAATAATAATGAAAGTTTAACGAGTTACCGCTGCAGTGTGCGGCTTAATTAAACATATTATGAACTACCAAAGCAGACATCGATCCATCGAATCAAATTTTAGACGGTATTTTAGTTAAAATAATCAATGACGCTCCATCGACCACCCACAAGAAAGCAAATATCCAGTGTATCGTTAGTTAATATGTAATGCACAAATTTTACGAGCGATTAGTAACATGTCGTTTACGTATGAAACGCGTGACGCATACTCAGTATGCAACATCGTGCGCATACCAGTGAGTTTGATAGCAACATTCCTATTATTCTATTATTAGAATGACGTCGTGACACTAGGAAAACATAAAACGTTGCCGACGAGAGCGTTGACCTACGCAAGCAAACTCAGTATGATTTGCAGTATAGAACAGTGCAGTTTGGCAAGAGACGAGCGGGCGTGGTCGGACCATCCGGCATTGCAAACACTATGATATCTGCTTCCCAACTCCGACGCGAACGTCGTCAATTTCAGTTACGAACGTTTAGTTTCTAAGATTTACAAGCGGCGGTGTTTCTGCGTCTGTTTAGCTCGTCTCTCTCATTTGCAAATTGCTATCATTGCATACCAGTCGTCAATTTTGCACATGATAAATGACTAACCGCGAGAACCGCCTGGCAGAGACATGTTTGATTGATTTATTTCGACGAACAGCTGCTCTCACCGTCCCTAGATACTTTATGATCGATAACGTTAAACAGTGACGTTTGTATAGTATTTTACGCGGTAATTGTTGTAATTGATAATTTAATATACTGAATTTTGTACTGAAGTAATTTACAGGGCGCCCGAGTTGGCGCCTTAGGACTAATGAGCGACAATTAAATTGTTAGCAGTCGCGCTCGCAAAAGTTAAGTGAGGTTGGAGGTCGCGGCCGACGAACCCAACGCGGTGATACTAACTTGCGCAATTTACTATTGTTGCTACTAAAAGATTGATGAGCTTTCCAAAGAACACTGTTTACTTACACAATCCGATCACGCGTTAACTCGCAATCTTCGCCTTTTATTCTTGTATACGACCGACGTGGTTGTAAAGTGCTACATAAAAATTTTCTTGTCACCACAGAGAATTTAACGGTCGCAGAATGGAACCGAAAATGATAGTATGCAGTTAGAGATAGCATGTACATGTTCTTAAACGTTCGTTCGTAATTCCTGTCTCCAATTACGTAGACTGCATTTACATATTCCGGAGAAACTAGGCACACTGTAAACTCAACCGCGTCTCCCTGTTCAAATGTTTCCATTGCCGAATATTCAATGGCAATTCTGCGAATGGTTTACTCAAATCTTTAATTAAGTCTTTGCAAACAAAATTAAAATTCGATTAAATGTTGCTTGCTTTTCAATCTACGACAAGTATCGTTTGTCTGTTCGTTTGTTGCGCTGTTCAAATAACAAAAGCGTGTAGAGCTCGTTTCGGAAGAGACGAGAGGAGTAAAGTGCGCTTCAAACCTCGTTTGTAATCTCGTCGTGCCGCAAAACGAATGTATACACATTAAAACTTTCGAATTGAAGGTAACGCAATAATTGAAGAGACGGCGGGGGTGCCTCGCCAAAAAACGGTGCGCTTTTGCTGTATCCGAACATGGAATTTTACAGCACGAAAACTGTTGTCCACTGCTTTGTGTCTACAATGCACATGCTTATAGTTAAGATATATGTATTTCCCGTTATTAAAGCCCACAATCAAGTGTTTTAAAAGTCCTTAGTTTTTCTTATTACAAACAACTGTAAGTCATTTGTGTTACGTTGTCAACGTTTGCTTTCCATTGTTCTTCATATTTGTCTGCGAGTACGAGTATACTGTTTGTGAACGAGCTTTTAATATAAAACGTCGCCAGACCAAAGGTTGAATAATGATAATAAATCCGGATTGTTCCCAAGGGTGGCTCTTTTTTAATTAGGAAAATGAAACTTTTCCTATTATATTCCACCGTCGTCGGTACTCGTAGCGATAAACAACTAGTTCAAATAAAAATTAAATACGAAATAGCGGAACACTGAACAGAGGAGAGTCGGGAAGCCGGGGTAAAAATGAGAAGCCTAACCGCAAATCCAATTAGTCGCAACAAGATATCCAACACGACCGATACTGATAAAGTATCGCTTAATGTATTGTTATAAGAAAGTAAAATGGGTATTTATTGATAGGGTTCTGCAGAGACAGCAATCAGCAACCTCGAATGGTGCTCAGTTTAAGAGTGACAAGCAGCGACGCAGCACGAATAGCAATTTTTCAACGGTGCCATCTCAAACAATAAGTCTGCGAGGAGATGGTATTTGCGGTGCTCAATGCATTTATTCTGTTGGTTGCGTTACGTTCCACCTCATGTTTGCCATTGTCTGAGAGCTTCACGTTAATACTCTGCTCTTTGTATCAACGAATGTTCTACTTTAATGCAATTGCAATGTTTACGTTCAAATAAATTTGTATGGAATATAAACAAAATGCAACACAAAGGCAAACTCAAATGTCGTTTAAAATTGTTTTCAAACGGATATTTAAATCCATGCGATATTGATATCTAAGTTTCTATAGAAAATTACGGATTTGTATCTTCGTAACCATTACTCTCGTTTGTGACCCGCCTGAATCTCATCAGTATTCGAACTGTCAAAGGATCCAGCGGTTTATGTAAATCTCGAGCATTTATAACTATAGCAAATTTGTAAATATCGTTCCAGCGGAGCAAGCTCAGAGAATTTATGAAGCGAACAATTTATTAATATTCGCGGGAAGAAATATCTGAGAGCTATGGAAATCGGCGTAAAACTGTAGGGAATGTGAGCACGAGAGCAATGTGAGCGAGCGTATTCGTCGTCGCAATCCTTCAAAACACCTCAGAGACCTCCACTGGGGAAGGTGAGAGTCGTTGCAAAAATTTAGTCTTTCATATATACAAGATATTTCCTCGCATGAATTAGTGTCACGTTTCGCACATTCCACATGACGTGAGAATGCTCGCGCGAAACATTTTCCACTTTGTAATTTTTTTTATTTAAAAATTCGCAGTTAAAATTTTATATATAAATAGACTGTTTAAAAATAAATATTCATTTATGTATGTACTTTCAAGTTTTTAACACAGCTACAAATCAGGTATTAGAAATAAGCTAAGTATACTTTTGCATGCCACAGCTGGTGCAGGGCGCCTCGATGCGATTTTGATGAGGATCCTACCGTCTATCCGACATCGAAGGACATTTTTAATAAAAGAATTCTGACAAATAATCTGTTTGTCGACACGACCATGAAAGCGTTGAAAAGAATTGATTGCTTCGTTTATTTGGACAGCTGCTACATGCATCACGATCTTACAGAGTGAATAATGTGAACAAACAGCAGAAAGAACATGTTTATATACGAGTAGCTAGTGTGGCGACGTTTAAAGTATGTTTTGCCGCAGACGCGACGCTTTGTAGTTGCTACATGGAAAATTACTTATCCTTACTTCGTTTTATCGTTAGTCGTATTGTTATGTCGGTTACTAACCATTCAACTAACGCGTTATTAGCGCCACACGAAAATGGGTTGTAAAATAAATTTTAAAAGATAGCGGTTAAAAATTACTACTATTAGGTAAACTAGACTTAGCTTGCGCATCTAATATATAATTAATAACTATGTTTAATTTTAACATCAAAATATAATTTCTAAAAGCTACTTGATGATACGTCAAAACGTATATTAAGATATGAACAAAATTTGATTAAATAAATAATTCTAATACTTTGTTAAATAATTCATCATTATTTTTAGTAGTAGTACGAAAGAGCTGGCTGGTGGAGAATCGTCATTATATTATGAATACAACACTTTGAAACAAATAATGGTCGTTGATATGTTTTCTATTTTCTATCTATTACCAACTACCTAAATAGTTTGAAGTAATAAAAAATGGTTATTCTGCAATTCAAATAACATTAAACTTATTATGTCTTTAGCTTCCCAACATCATTACATAAACGAGTTATTGCTTATTTATTTGGCTTGGCACGAGTTCTGAAACCAGTCATATATGTACGTAAAACTCAACGTTTATATACTCATGTTGTAACAGTAGTAGTGTAGGTATATAACCAAGTAGTAAATCGATAAACAAAAATGATTCACGGGCAGCAATAATGGCGCAGTTGATGTAGGTCGAGGGATGCCTACAACGCGTAGAGCACGTCCACCATTTTATTTACAAACAACGCAATACTCATCGTCTATATTTAGCGTAACGATAGCGTAGGG